GGGAGGCTGAGGCAGGAGAATCGCTTGAACTCAGGAGGCAGAGTTTGTGGCGAGCCGAGCCGAGATAGCGCCACTGTACTTCAGCCTGGGCAACAAGAAAGAAACTCCGTCTCAAAAAATATATATATTTTTTAAATACAAGAAAGTAATAGAAAATAATGGGGTCTATGGATGTAGTCTCCATGTATCCAAGAGATTTTTTTCTTCTAAGAAAGCGTGTACATTAAGTTCAAGAAATACTTTAAAAACAAGAGAAGGCAACAGCTGTATATGACCACATGCTGAATGAACAAGACAAATACAAAATGCCACATAAATCCAGAGGAGAAAATCACCCTGGACTGGAAGGGCAATAGAAAGCTTCATAGAAGAGGCGGCTGAGCTCTGAAGGATGGGCATTCGTTTTCTTTTTTTTTTTTGAGACGGAGTCTTGCTCTGTCACCAGGCTGGAGTGCAGGGGTGCAATCTCGGCTCACTGCAACCTCTGCCTCCTGGGTTCAAGAGATCCTTCCGCCTCAGCCTCCCAAATAGCTGGGACCACAGATGCCCGGCTAATTAGCCACCACGCCCGGCTAATTTTTTGCATATTTTTAGTAGAGACGGGGTTTCACTGTGTTGGCCGGGATGGTCTTGATATCTTGACCTCGTGATCCGCCTGCCTCGGCCTCCCAAAGTGCTGGGATTACAGGCGTGAGCCACCACGCCCGGCCAGGATGGGCATTCTTTATAGGAGCAGTGAGGACAGAGACAGTTTCAGGCACAGTGAATGGGATGATGAAAAGGGTGACGGCACAGGCAGAGAGCTGGAAGAGGTGTGGAGGCACATGTCAACAGAGTCTTGAAGTGGACACACAAGAGACAAGGCCAGAAAGGTAACGTGGGAGGCCACGCTGCAGACAGGCTCAGAGTCTATGATAAATAATTTGACAATCTTTAGCAAGTATTGAGAAATCTTGCAGGTTCTTTTTTTTTTTTTTTGAGACAGAGTCTTACTGTCGCTCAGGCTCGAGTGCAGTGGAGCAATCTTGGCTCACTGCAAACTCTACTTCCTGGGTTCAAGCAATTCTCCTGCCTCAGCCTCTTGAGTAGCTAGAATTACAGGTGCCCACCACCATGCCCGGCTAATTTTTGTATTTTTAGTAGCAACGGGGTTTCTCATGTTGGTCAGGCTGCTCTCGAACATCTGACCTCAGAAGATCCACCTGCCTTGGCTTCCCAAAGTGCTGGGATTACAGACATGAGCCGCCGTCCCAGGCTGCCTTGCAGCTTCTTGAGAAGAGCACAATGAAAATAATTTTGAAAGATTAGTCGTTCTGGTTATAGATAGTAATATAAATTAGAGAGGGAAGACAAGAAACTACAGAAAGGAAACTACAGAAAATAAAACAAAACTACAGAAGAGGTTAAAGCAATAACCTAGATATGAAATTGTAAAGTTCAGGGAGGTGAATCATGTATCTCAGCCAGGGACAGATGAAAGGCAGAGGTAGGGACCTCCTCCAGCTTGGAGTAGGGACAGACTCCCAGACACTCACTGTTCATTGGAGCTGAGGGCTGGCTTGTTCTCCACCTTGTATAGCTTGTCTACTTCGTGTTGCTACAGAGAGAATCCAATAAGACAATGGACATAAGAGTGCCTGAAAAGCACAAAGCGTGATACAAAGATAGGGGCTTCTTGAGGGCTTCCTCATTCTGCTAATTCTAGGAATCAAACTGCTCCCCTGACAACCGTCCCACTGAACCTTCCTCAAACTGTCAACAGAAAACCCAAAAATAAAACAATGTAAAAATAGTAAGGCCAGGCAGGGTGGCTCACGCCTGTAATCCCAGCACTTTGGGAGGCCGAGGCGGGCGGATCACCTGAGGTCAGGAGTTTGAGACCTGCCTGGCCAACATGGTGAAAGCTTGTCTCTACTAAAAATACAAAAATTAGTCGGCCTTGCTGGCAGGCACCTGCAATCCCAGCTACTCGGAAGGCCGAGGCAGGGGAATCGCTTGAACCTGGGAGGCGGAGATTGCAGTGAACTGAATTGACGCCATTGGACTCCAGCCTAGGGGACAAGAGCAAGGCTTTGTATTAAAACAAATAAACAAACACACAAACAAAAAACAGTGTGGGCTAGGTGCAGTGGCTCATGCCTGTAATCCCAGCACTTTGGGAGGCTTGAACCCAGGAGTTCGAGATCAGCCTGGGCAACATAACAAGATTCTGTCACTATAAAAAAAAAAAAAGAAAAATTTATCTATATATATTTTTAATACATGCGGGTGTGCGTGTGTGTGTGTGTGTGTGTGTGTGTATGTTCTGTAGCAAACAGATTCAAAAAAATAAGTACATAATAAAATTAAATTTTAAAATTGACCAGGTGTAGTGTCACATGCCTGTGGTCCCAGCTACTTGGGAAGCTGAGGCAGGAGGATGGCCTGAGTCCAGGAGGTCAAGGCTGCAGGGAGCTGTGATTGTGCCATTGCACTGTACTCCAGCCTGGGCAACAGAGAGACTCCGTCTCCCCCGATAAAACAAAATCCAACAAACAAAAAATAGGAACAGTAGCATCAGTCCCACTTTTTCACACAATTCAGCTACCCTCTATTTGCCCTATAACGGTAGTCACGCTTCAGTCATTTGTATTCTTCACCAAAAGAAAAACTGCTCAAGGAGGAAAGAGGGGCATGACCCCAGGGAAAGGGACCGTACCTTCAGAATGGAGACACTGGCAATTCGATCCAAAGGGCTCATGAGATCTGCCTCAATGAATAAATCCTTTTTTCCAGGAAGCTGAAGGAGACACAGGATGCCGGGTCACTCACAGTCCCACGAGCTTCCTCAGCTGAGAACTGGCCTAGCCACCCATCTATCAGAAACAGTCTCTGAGGTGGGAGGCCCTAAGCATGGTCTACCCGGGTACATTATTAATTATCTGGATCCACAGCTGACATTTCTCTGTATATTTGCCTATTTTGCCTTCTCATTTTCTGTACCAGTGGGTAGACATTCCACCTTCTTTCTCAGGTTAATTCCTTGTCACTCACTTTCTCAGGTTAATTCCTTTGCTCACCTGTGACCTTGATCTGCACCTTACTCCCCATCTCTGCTCCCTTCTCCACTCTGGCTCCCAACCACTCCTGATCTCCTGCTGAACAAAGCCAAATGCAACAGAACGCCACCTTGCATTTTCCCCCCAAGTACAAAATAAAATAGTACACATTCACTGCAGAAAACTTAGCAAAGCCAGGACAGTCCTCACCCTATTACCCTTCCACTCCCTCACCCCACAATCCCTGTCATCTGATTCCTGTGCCACCACTCCTGACACAGACCCTCAATGCCTGTTCAGAGGAAGGAGTGGTCACAGTTAGTGACAGGGAGGGGAAAGTCATTCGACATTTCCTCTCAACCAGGCCTTCACAAATGAGTAGGGTGTTGACATGGATGTATGAAGAGGGCAGCCGGCGAAGATCAGGGAAAGAGCATAGGCTGCGTGGTAAGGGGACGATATTGCCCTCCAAGAGACATTTGGCAATGTCCAGAAATGTTTTTGGTTGTCTGACTCAGGGTAGAGATTTTACTGGCATCTTTGCTTCTGTTAGAGAGGTGGGTAGAAGCCAGGGATGCTGCTAGACATCTAACAACGTACAGACAGCCCCCACCACAGACAATGATTCAGCCCAAAAGAAAAGGTCAATGGTATAGACAGCAGGCAATCTTTTATTTTTTTATCTTATTTGTTGTTTTTGTTTTCTTTAGTTTTAGAGATAGTCTCGCTCCATCGCCCAGGCTGAAGTCCAGTGGTGTGATCTCAGCGCACTGCAACCTCTGCCTCCAGGATTTAAGTGATTCTCTTGCCTCAGCCTCCTGAGTAGCTGGGATTACAGGTGTGCACCACCACACCCAGCTAATTTTTGTAATTTTAGTAGAGATGGGGTTTCACCATGTTGGCCAAGCTGGTCTTGAACTCCTCACCTTGTAATCCACCCGCCTCAGCCTCCCAAAGTGTTGGGATTACAGATGTGGGCCACCACGCCTGGCCTGTTTTTTTTGTTTGTTTTTTTAAGATACAGTCTCACTCTGTCGCGAATTGGCACGATCTCAGCTCATTGCAACCTCTGCCTCCCAGGGTCAAGCAATTCTCCTGCCTCAGCCTCCCAAGTAGCGCCTCCCAGGCGCCCTCCACCACACCTGATTAATTTTTGTGTTTTTAGGAGAGGCAAGGTTTTGCCATGTTGGCCATGGTAGTCTCGAACTCCTGACCTCCTCAGGTGATCCAACTGCCTCAGCCTCCCAAAGTGTTGAAATTACAGGTATGAACCACCACGTTTGGCCTTTAAAAATTTCTATTCTTATAAGTAGATTTTAGCTGCTCTTATCACACAAAGAAATGTAACTATGTGAGATAACAATTATGTTAATTTGCTTCATTATCGTCACCATTTTACTCTCTCTCTATATCCTATTATGTCATGTTGTTTACCTCAAATATACACAATAAAATTTATTTTAAAAAATTTTCTATTTTTATTTTTATTTATTGTTAAATTTCCCAAACCAAAAATGATCAACAGAGGGTAGGAAATCTTGATGTAGGTGAATGGCAAAAAAACAGAACAAAGTAGTTGCTAGAATTGTGCAGGAAGGGCTCCAAATGCCAGCTTACGAGAGCGTGTCCTTGATCCTCTAATGTAACGGGGAAAACCAAAGTTTTGTACAATGGAGCATTCCAATCAGCTGGAAATGTTAGATGAGTCTGGCAGCTGGACTGAAGAAAGGAGAAACTGGAGGCAGGGAGTCTGCTTAGGGAGTGAATGAAACAGTCCCGGCAGCCCAAGCATGTGGCAATGAAAGAGGGCCTGATGGCCGGGCGCGGTGGCCCATGACTGTAATCCCAGCACTTTGGGAGGCCGAGGCAGGTGGATCATGAGGTCAGGAGATAGAGACCAGCCTGGCCAACATGGTGAAACCTGGTCTCTACTAAAATACAAAAATTATCTGGGCATGGTGGCAAGTACCTGTAATCCTGGCTATTCAGGAGGCTGAGGCAGGAGAATTGCTTGAACCCGAGTCAGAGGTGGCAGTGAGCCAAGATCACCCCATTGCACTCCAGCCTGTTGACACAGCGACAATCCATCTCAAAAAATAAAAATAATAATAATAAAGAGAGCCTGATTTAGACTGTGGAGGTGTGAACAAAAATAGGTTAAGAGATACATGGAATGTGTAATATAATTTTGTTAATACTTGAAGGAAATTAACAGTGTTAACAGTGTTTATAACTCATGGTAGCACTATAAGTAATTTTTTTCTTTTTACTTTCCTTGATCTTCTTACATTTTCTATAATGTGCAAGTGTTATTTTATAATCACTATAAAAAAGTCGTATGTAAAGAAGTATCCATGGGGCTGGGCATGGTGGCTCACATCTAATCCCAGCACTTTGGGAGACTGAGGCAGGCAGATCACAAGGTCAGGAGTTCAAGACCAGCCTAACCAAGATGGTGAAACCCCATGTCTAATAAAAATACAAAAATTAGCCAGGCATGGTGGCAGACGCCTATAATCCCAGCTACTCGCGAGACTGATGCAGGAGAATCGCTTGAACCAGGGGGACGGAGGTTACAGTGAGCCGAGATCGTGCCATTGCACTCCAGCCTGGGTGACAGAGCGTGACTCTGTCTCAAACAAACAAAAAAAAGAAGTATCCATGGAACTCAGTAAGTACCAGGGTGAAGGAGAGGCAATGATGATTCTGACATTTCAAGCCTGAATAGCAGTGCACATTAACAAAAAATTAAGTCAGAAGTTAGTTAGGAGAGGACATTATTGCCTGGAAATCCACTCTGGCCATGCTGAATCACCCAGTGGGCTCAAGTTTCTCTCCTTGGTCACCTCTACTCTCTTTCTTATTGATCTCACCTGAACTAGCGGCTTTAACTAGCACCTCTTTTCAATTCTTCAGACAGGTGTTGCAAGCCACACGCTTGGGCTGCCTTACTCCCTAAGGGGACTCCCTGCCTCCAGTTTTTCCTTTCTTCAGTCCAGTTGCCAGTTGTATAAAAGAAAACTAGGCTGGGCATGGTGGCTCAAGCCTACATTTCCAGCACTTCGGGAGGCAAAAGCAGGCAGTTCACCTGAGGTCAGGAGTTTGAGACCAGCCTGGCCAAGATTTGGTGAAGCGCCATCGCTACTAAAAATACAAAAATCAGGCCGGGCGCAGTGGCTGAAGCCTGTAATCCCAGCACTATGGGAGGCCGAGGCGGGTGGATCACGAGGTCAAGAGATCGAGACCATCCTGGTCAACATGGTGAAACCCCATCTCTACTAAAAATACAAAAACATTAGCTGGGCATGGTGGC